CAGAGGTGGCAGCACGGAGGGAAGGGGGACGCGGAGGAACGTGGCACCCAGGGCAAGGGGAGGTGGCAGCGCGAGGGGACGTGGCCCGCCGAGGTGGTGGCACGAAGGGAAACGTCCCCACGGGCGTCTGGAGGTCACAGCACGAAGACGGGCGCCTGGAGGTCACAGCACGAAGGGAGGTGTCACGCACTGGTGGTGCGTGAAGGGAGGTGGCACACGCGGGGCAGCGTGAGGAGGTGCAGCAGTGGTGTCGGGGAGAGCTCAGAGAGGGGCAGCTGCAGCACCTATGGCATGGAAAGACGGGGTAGCTGCAGCAGAGGGAACGTGTGAACATCAACAGAATTTTTTTTTTCAGTGAAAATGTTGTGGTTTTATCCTCATCCATCATCAAGATCCATGCTGGGACAGAGCAGGTTGCATCAAACATATGTGCTTGTATATGCTTGTGCTGTTGAGCCCAGCACTGATGACATATCCATGTCTGCTGTGTTCCAGGCACTGAAGCTGCGAGCAGGAGACAAGCACTGTCTAGTTGCCCGCTCAAAATGTTACCTGAAACTTGGAGACACAGAAAATTCCCTGAAAGATGCTGAAGCTTCTCTCCAAAACGACAAAACATTCTCCAAGGTAAACAGCGTGAAGCGGTAAGAGTCTGGGGTGGCCAAGGACTGGTCTTTCATCTATGAAACCCTGAAGGGTCTGGGAGACAGTATTGTGTAGAAACGGCTAACTCTAAACACACCCTTGACATTTTTATTGCTTCCAGAGAAGTGGAGGTGCTTAGTCAACAATTGAGAAAGAGTCCTGGGATCGGGTTTTATTGTATGCAGATTGCGATAGCATAGGGCTCTCACTTCTGCCTAGCGGGGAGTTAATTGAGATGTCTGAAGCTCTTTTTTTCTCTGTTTTATTCTTTTTTTTTTTTCCAAATGTCATTCTAGGGACTTTACCAAAAAGCAGAGACATTATATACCATGGGCGATTTTGAATTTGCGTTAGTGTTTTATCATCGAGGCTACAGACTACGTCCAGAACTACAGAAGTTCAGGCTGGGTATCGAGAAATCCCGGGAGGCAATTGTCAACTGCATTGGAAGTAAGATGTTTCATTTTATGGCCCCTACAAGCACAGCCAGAAGCTGTTCAGTGGACAGCTGATGGCATATTAGCTCAGCAAGTGACCCAAGGACCCTGCAACAAGAGAGTCTCTTTGCTTCTGGATTCCCATGCTCAGTGGACATTCCCAGATGAAAACAGGAAGCACCAAAGAGAGCACAGCCCTGTTCTTTTTTCCTTCTTTTTTTGGCTGAATGCCTAGTCATATACATATGCATATTCATATATGTTTTAGATATATTCATATGTCTAATAACTTCAGTTATGTAAGCAAATTATGAGATTAACTTAAATTTCCAAAGTCACCGTGAAAATGTTCTAGGGAATAGAGAACAAAGCAGCTCATCTATTTACAGCCCTACTGATTACAGAACACATTTTGAGATCTTTATCCCAATATTCAAAGTTAGTAATGGAATTTGCCTCGCCACCTGAGACTGGCCTTCCTGAGATCCTGACGTTCCTCCAATTTACATTGCATAAGACCAGTGAAACTGTTGACTCTTGCAATGGAGCACTGCTTTCATCATTTCTGGCTTAGATCATAGAACTGAGTCCCGCAGGAGACAGGAAAGGCCAAGGACCTAGCGATGTTCAAAGTAAACTGAAAACTTGTCCCTTTTCCCTTCGTTTTTCTCTTAGCAATGCTCTCATATGCAGACAGGCACGGACAGGACGTGCACCCACTCTCAGGCACACAGACACATCTCAGCTGGGGCTGCCACCTTAGACACGTGCACAGAGCAGCCTGTGCGTAGCTCACTGCTGTAAAACCCGCCCGGGCAGTTAGAGGCTGCGCAGGTGGATCCCCGACAGCCTGTCCCTTCACAGAGCCGGGACACACCCTGCCGCACACCCATACACACAGGCCCTGATCCCTGAGATATTCAAGTGCCTTACTCTCCCTGAAAGCAGTTTCAAAATTTCGGTCCACCTCCAGTGCCACAGATTAACTTCATGTCCCAGCTGCGTAAAAGCCTGAAGCTCTTTCATACATGATACTCATTTAAAAAAAACAGGGAGTTTCTAGATGTGGCTTGCTTTCCTCTGTTACTGCTGCTTTCTTAGCTTAATACAAATGCCTAGATATCTTTGCAACTCTCAGTTGAAATGCTTGCCATGCTTGATATACTGAGCTAAGGGCTTTAAATGCCTTCAAGCATCCGGGCTGTAGGCAAATGAACAGATTAAAAACCAAAACCTTTTTTTTAATCAAGCGATAGCTCCTAAATGCTAAATGGGGAAAAGAAGCAAGGAAACATGCTAGCATTTGATCTAGATGTTTAAATAGTTGGGAAATGCACACACATTAACAGGGTACATCCCCAAAACTGCTCTACTGAATCTGCTTTGCTTGGCAGATTCAGAAACACCTGCCTTCCGTGATACACGTGTACTCGCACCGCTGATCTTGGCCCAGTTGCCTTGCTGAAGGAAATCCTTCAACAGCATGCAAAGCTCTTTCCTTCCTTCTGACCAGGCCAAAACAAAGACCTGTTTTTCACTCCACTGCCAGAGTGCAATCTGAATAGCCGAACTGGATGTCAGAGTGAAAATGAAATGGGAGTTTTGCCCTAATGTCAGTGCACAAAAACTTTTAAATAGTTCTCTGGATTGCTGGAGATCCCTGTGCTTATGAGCTTTCCTTCAACTTTAAGCTTCAGCTGTGATCCCTCAGAAGAACCTGCCGTCCTTTTTCTTCCTCTGTTTCCATGCAGGGTGTAGCATGTCTCTGTAGGAAATCTGCACTGTGACGGGAGCCCCCTGGTGCCATGTGAGAAGAGTAGTTAAAATCCCGAGAGGAGCTGCATCTACGAGCTGTATTCCCCGCTTACAGAACATACCAACGTCCACATATTTCATGTGAAAGAATTAATAGAAAGTTATTCCAGAGTAGAATAGAAAAAAAAATTATTTCAAACAGGACATTATAGGGTTGGCATGTTTATGGTCATTTTAATTTCTAAAGCCTCTGCATGCTATTCTTCAACACTAACAAGTATTTTCTCTGTATTTGCAGGTCCATCCTCAGTTAAACTGGAGAACAAAGAGCATCTGTGCTTTATAAGCAGGCAGGCAGAGGTACAATCTGAAGAGCTCTTGCTTTAGAAGCTAATTAGAGTTATTATAATGCTAATACTTTCTGAAATAGGCATTAGAGGATTAATAGTTTCTGCAGCAACATGGATGGGGATACAGCTGGTCTAGTGAAGTGCCTTTTGAGCGTAGGAAGCACACTCATCTGTTATAAGAGTATTTATGCACCTGCTTTTAATGTAGTTCTGGTTCAAGCTACACAGAATTTAAAGGAGAAGGCAGAAGGGCAGGGAAGAGCAACCATGGAGAAACAAAGCCGTTTGAAATTTCTCTACCAGCCTGACTTTCTGTTGGGTGTTGCTGATCACCCATCAAAGGCTAATAAGTAACAGCACTGAGGTCGGAGCCAGGGTACATTTATCTACAATATTTACTTTGGTTTTACCTGATGTTTAAGGTTCACATTTTTGATAATGGACACTTTTTCGATTGCTTAATTTTGGGGTAGTCCATTGAAGTAGTGCCTTGTTCCTCCGAGATGCCAAGCCACATTTCCCTTTCAAGTCAGTGCAGCGAATGCTTATTGCTTCTTTCAGCTGGAATTACAGGTACTCAGTGGTAAAAATAATTTATACAAAGGGGCCTAAAGATTAGCATTGTAACTGTTGGGATTTTGGATGTGAAACTTCAGAAGCACTTTCCTGATGTTTCAGAAGCCCTGGCTGTTACAGCCTCTGTTTCTCTGACTGTGGACAACTAGACCTGCCTTCCCCACAGCCTTAATGTCCTCCCACGGCACTGACCAGGGGGCCCTCCAGAACAGCACAAGACACTGGGGCAGAACTAATTCTTGCTCTTACTATAATGTCCCCTCCTGTTCTTGGAAGTGCGGGAGCACAATTGGGTGCAAAATGTCAGTTGCTCATGACCAAAGCAACTGGTGAGACACTGACTTTTTGCTTTTTTTAAAAAAAATAAGTTGGCTTATATGGAGTGTAAACAGAATTCTGCTAATTCTAGTGTTCCCCACTAGTCTCCCCCAACCTCCTTTATTTTTTCTTGCTGTAGAACAAAAAAGCAAATCAGAAACTCCAAATCAAACTGACTAAGGATCAAAAATGGACAAGGAAACAGGAGCCTGTGAGGAATCCAAAAACAGAGCGACAGCTTCTTGGAGAGCTTTATGCTGACAAGGCCTACCTAGAAAAGTTGCTCAAGGATGAAGGTCTGTCTTTCTCCGTTGTATTTATCTAAATGTTTCTTCTAAGCAGGTTCTTTTTTTTCTTCGTCTTTCATATCCCTATGACTACTCTTCCTTATTTGTATCAGAGCTCACACAGCACATAGTGCTTGCAGTGGTCGTGAGAGAGGCAGGTGTTTGGAGAGTATAGGTATTTTTGGAGCCAGATCTGATGTTCATAACTATGTCTGAGCATATTTCCTTCCCTATTAAATGGCAGGCTTTTATAATGAAAAATAAATCAGCTCAAAGCAATCTGTGCTGATGAAATCAAAAGCAGAAACAGTATTATTACTAATTACTTAACTTTTGTCATAATGATAAAATTCCACTAACACTTCCATTAAGTGCAAAGCATTGCTCATAAGACTAACTCATTTGTGGTTTTGTTATAAATGCTGTTAAGATCAAGATGCAGGATTCGGAGCAGTATCTTATTTTAGAACTAGGCAGAAAGGTGATTCCCCTTTAGTAATTTTTCTAGGGAACTTTTTACCCAGTAATAGAGAAGTAATTAAGAATTTAGTCTACTCACAGGTTTTATGGTATTATTAGCATTAATAATACATGTGGGCTATCTGGTTTCCAGGCATGTAAAAGCCTCAATTTCCATCTTGCAATCTAATTCACAACACTTTCCAAAGTGCCATTTCAGTTCAAATGCCCCATATAATTGTTCCATCCAGGAGGACAGGTGCTCGCTCATCACAGCTGGCCCCCATTAATTGGGCCTCTTCTTGGCTCTTGTCAGCACAGAAGGCAGCAACTATAGGGGCTGGGAACACCAACTCTGGCTCACTACAACATGCAGAATGCGTCACAGCAAGGAAGTTTTCCATAACTTCCCTCCTACTTGCATCAGTTCTGAGGAGCACTGAAGACGTTCATTTCTAGGACTATGTCTCTATCAGAGCAGAAGAACATTCACAAGCAGTCCCCCACTGAACCGCAGCTTCATCCATCATATACATTAATACTTTCCTGGGTTCTACCATCTTATTTTCAGATTTGATGGAGAGCAGCACAAAGCAGGGGATCAAAGTAGCAGACCTGGTTTTGAGTGGGATTTCCTACCTGGACACACGCAGTGAATTCTGGCAGCAGCAGAAGCCTATTTATGCCCGTGTGAGAGAGCGCAAGCTCAGGCAGCAAAGGTGGATCCGGGACAAGAAAAGAAAACCAGCTGAGGTTGGCAGATACATTGTGAAGAGCATGGAGGACATTGATATGTGTAGGTGTCCTGGCTGGAAGTAGTAAGAAAATGATGATTGACACATGTAGTTATTTGCTGCAGTAATTACAGACCAGAACAATAGGAGCAGTGCAAGTATTAATGAACAGTAGTAGGCAGTTTTTGGGAAATATTTGCTTTTGTATTCTTCACCTTTCCCAACACTTTCTTAGATACAGAATCCAACACATTTTTTTCTCAGTTTTTTCTGTACTTGAAGTCTTGCTGATTGGTTTTCAGGACACCATTTAGATATTAAAGCCAGGTAGGCCACTGCTGCATGCTTAGCAAATGCCACTGGTCTGGTAATTAGAAGTTGCAGGCCACTGGAGTTAATAATATCTATAGTTCAAAAATACCATTGTACAGAGATGAAGAAGCTGAAAAACAGTGGTCTGGAAGGAAGGAGTAATTCAGCCACTTGTGGTCTCTTTCTCTCTTCCCGTGCTACATATTTTACAACCCAGGGAAAAGAATTTAGTCGTTACTGCAATTCAGTTCTTTTAAGCTACAACAGCTCGGTGAAGGTAGTGTCAGAAACATCCTGCAGTCTAATTCCTGCAGCACTGTAGCCCAGCTGGGCGCAATGAACTGAGCTCACCAGGAAAGTGCGAGGAGCTAATTTAGGAGATAAAAACCCAAGTACTGTAGCTAGAACTTCATCTCCAAGACCAGGCTGCCCTGCTGCAATAACTATGAGCTTTAAAAACCTCCAAACAACAAGCATCATCCTCCTTTATTTTTCTTCAGCAAGTGTGAAGCATTACCAGAGTCATTTCCCCTTACTTGCTGTGATGAAAGTGATTTCCAGTAGTGCCAGGGGGAGGGTCAGAAGTACCATCTCCCAGGGGCAGATTTCCTGGAGATTGGAAAGAGGAGCGTAGGAGATGCACGAAGAGTTAGGAGCTCTAGCCTTTCCCAAGCTTTGCCTGAGGCTTACACAACTGCATTTAGTCTTGCTTCCCCAATATCACTGTGTCCACACGCTAGCATTAAACTTTCCTCTTTGTCTCTAGTGCTGACTGGCGACTCCCCTGAAGAAAGCTGCAAGAAAGCTGAGCGTGTGCTAAAAACAATACAAGGGTGGTCAGATGATGAAGTTCCCAACAAGAATGAACTGATTGGAAACCTCCACAGCTGCATCGGGAATGCTCAGTTAGAGATGGGCCAGATGGAGGCAGCTCTGCAAAGCCATAAAATGGATCTGGAATTTGCCAGGCAGAAGTAAGTGCTGAGAAGTTCAGAAGGATTGGGAAAAGAGGAAAGTACCTCTGTTAAGATGTTTTAGAATCAGGTAATGTTGTAATTCTCACCTGGAGATTTAACAGGGCAATGCATTCAGACTCAGCCCAAGTAGCGTGGTCTCTAGTGACTTATTATCTTCACCATTTCAAAAATAAGGAGCCTGAAGCAGATTTTTAAGGGACCTAGACTACATGGCACATTTAAAACTCTGCTGAAGCAAAGCAAGAGAACACAAGTCCCAGTCTCAGCACTTTAACCTCTAGTATACACTTCCTTCTCAGGAAGATCAGGCTCTAAATTGCACAAGTTTTCTGCTACATTTTCTCTTAAAATCATTTGCATTCGAACCATGATAGCAGGCTTGAAATATTTATCTAAGAGTTACCTGCCCATACAGAACATTCTGCAGCTCTTTCAGCAAAAACAGAATGAAGCAAAATGTAGTCTTAAGATGTAGTAAGCAAAGCACCTGAGAAAACACTGAATAGTTGCTTGAATTGGAGTTATTTTGGGTTTATTTTTGCTAATACTGCATAGGGCTTTTAAAATGTAACTGACTTACTGTTTATTGTTTTCACAAATCACTTTTAAAAATTAACATTGGTTAAAGAAATTTCTGCCTCTCTCCTAGTGATCTCCACTCCCCAGTTATGCCAAATAAAGTTAACAATTAGCAGTAGAGAGGCAGGAATGAGGTACATAATTTTACTACTTTTTTAAACCGATATGAAGTTGCATTTAAAGGACAGAAAGGCAGCGATGACTGGGGGGGCCTTGCCCTCTGGTGGCTGGAGTTCAGCCGGGTGAGAGGAGACATTGGTAAGGACTCGCATCGCCCCCAGCGACGCATTTATCCTCTCCTTTCATCAGCTTTTTCATTTGTAAGTAAGGGTAGTCAAAGCAGCCCACTTCCGAAGATGGGAATGAGGACTAATTACGGAAAAAATTTGAAGTCCACAGGCTACATTATTATAGAAGGAGCTGCCTCTAGCACGGGGCCTTTGCTCATTCACAGCCCTGGGAGCTGGGCCTGTTACCAGCAGTCTGTTGTAGGAGTCTGCAGACACACTGCAGACACGTTTTTGGGTCTTCACTTTCCTCTTGGACAGAAATAATCTATTAGTGTTAGGGACCTAGGAGCTGGTAGGGGACTTCCGAGGGACCCACAAAGGGAAATTGAGGCAAAGAAAAATGGAAAGACTTTCACAAGGACTGCCAAATTTGCACAAAAAAAAAATCAAAGACAAAACTAAACCCTTTTTCCCTGTGTCTTATGGGGTGTCAGTTGCAACAGCTGTAGACAAAATCAAAAATCTCGATTTTATGGCTTTCAGTCTGACATTGGTCCTTTACCTCTAATTCTCAACACTTAGTCTGAAGTCAAGTTGAGCACCAAAGAAAATATATAAAGCTGAAGGAAGTGCAGACTGTGTCAGGAACAAGACTATATGTCAGCTACTACAATTTCTTTTTCTTTTCAACGCAGCAACCTGCCAGATGCCGTATCCAGAGCCCTTGATAACATTGGCAGAGTTTATGCCAGAATCGGCAAATTCCAGCAAGCTATTGACACGTATGTAAAATTAGTAACAGAAAACACATAAGATTGTATTTTGAATTAAATAGATGATGTCTTTTCAGCTTGTTAGCAAGGGGGGCTGTGAAATTTTTCGTAACAACAGTACCTGGAACCCTTTGTTTATAGAATCAGTGGTTGAAATGATAACTGCACCTAGAGAGATTCAGTAAGTGTCTGCCTTTCTTACTCTGCTTGAAGTTGGGAGGAGAAGATTCCAATGGCAAAATCCAGCCTGGAGAAGACCTGGCTGTTCCATGAAATTGGCCGATGTTACCTGGAGCTGAATAAAGCTGAAGCAGCCCAAAATTACGGAGAGAAGTCCCTGCAGTCAGCAGATGAAGAGGGAGATGTTGAGTGGCAACTCCACGCTACTGTACTAGTGGCACAAGCACAAGGTAAAAGGCGTTAGTACAAATTTTGCTCTAAGGATGGAGACAGCCTGTCTGTTCAGCACCTTAGTGAAAACATCTCTGTGATTTAACAGCCAAAGTAACTGTTCAGAATAAGACCTCTCATTGGAGACTTGCTTGATTAACTATTGTTCTATTGATCTTGTGTTAAAATAGATGTTTTCATTTGTCTATTACAGTAAAATTAAAGGATTACCGGTCTGCAATCATGAACTTTGAAAAAGCACTTGAGAAGGCAACGCTTATTCACAATGAAGCTGCTCAAAAGGCCATCATTATTGTAAGTGGCTCACTGCAAAGAGGAGAGAAGCTTGGGGCAGCATCAATAAGTTAGCTGTAACTATTGTCTAGTGTCCTGTGAATTGACAAAACATCACTACATAGCTGGTGTTTTAAGAGGGGGAAAATGCAGCCTCTGAAGCAGTTTACCCATTAAAAGTTATGAAACCTCCTGGCTCAGAAAGCTTAACCCCAGTTTTGAACCAGTCCAACATATAGAAGGGTGAAGCCCTAGCCCTGCTCAGGTCAAGGGAAATTTTCTTTTGACCTCCCTGGGGCAAGGATTTCACACACAGAATACAGTGGTGCCCTCTCTTGTGTTCAGTTGCTATCAGCTGCTGAATCACAGCCCACCCTTTCTGCTCTCTCCAAAATGTCCCAGAGAAACCCCTTGGATCAGACCATGGAAGAACATCTGGGCATGGCCAGTGACCCACGGTAAAGCAGTCTGCATGCTCTGGTAGCCTGCCTTCACTGACCCGACAGTGGGCTGTGGGTGATCTGAGCACACCCAGCTTGCCAGGCAAGAGTTACAGCACAGACACCTACCGATCTGGTGATCCCTCCTGGGTGTCCAGAGCGCAGGCAGAGCCTGTTCTCCTGCCAGAAGGAAAATGAGGGCATGAGAGATGGAATCTTCAGGGGAGGAGACATTTGATAAGGGATACTAACAGGTAGGAATCACTGCAGAGAGAAATGAAGCATATTGTTGCAGAGATTTTTACAGTAGGTAATGATAGCAGAGATCAAAAGAAAACAGGAAAAACTTAGGTATGTAACTGCATTTCTAGAGCTTTTATTAATAAGCCATATCACTTTCAGGCCTTAGATGATGTGAGCAAAAGCTTCATCGAAGAGCTGAACAAAAGAAGAGAAGAAACGACAGTTTACTCTCTTAAAGGTAGTGGTCATTTAGACCTCTGCACCCCATAAATATAAAATTCTCCACTTTCCTTTTCTGGAGCACAGACCAAGGCATGGGAACAAAGCACCCCATTCCCAGGTAGCAAGCATCCAAATTTCTGGCCCACATTGCATCCTCTGTACTAGTACGCAGTAACAGGAATTAATTTATATGTGAAACTATAGCATAGTTATAATTTATGGCTTCAGTTTTTTGGCAGTGAAGGTTCAGTTTTGAGCTGGTATAAACCAAAATAAGTGATGTCCACGAAGCCTTGATACCCGTGAAGGAGCCTGGCTTCCCTCTTCGGTGCCATCCGTTTAAAAAAACTGCTTTTAATAACACTGAAAGCCACTCCAGTGCCCAGAACGCAGTCAGAAGCAAAATGTGACTGTTAAAGTGACTCTGAATAAACGAGACCATAGTGTCGAGGTCTTCAGAAACATCAGCTGCATCTCAGAGTTCACACAGTATTGATTTCCTTGCAAGTACTGAATTAAGGTCTCCCCAGAAGCGCTGTTTCTCGCAGCTGCGCTCCCGCGCCGGCCGCGCCCGCCCGGGC